GCCAGCGCAGGGTAGCAGGAAGCTCTCCACACACTCACCGGACCTGGGCTAGGACTGGGTCTCTCAGCTACCTTATCTTTAATAAAGGGGCCAAATATTTTCACTGAAGGAAAGATAACCTTTAAAACAAATGATGCTGGGAAAACTATCCACATGCTGAAGATTTAATGTAGACTCATATCTCTTCCCATTCACTAAACTAAAATCAAAATGGATTAGAGATCTAAATATTAAAATAAGCTGGGCATGGTGGTACACACCTGTAATCCCAGCATTCAGGTGGCTGAGGCAGGAGGACCGCTGAATTCGAATCCAGCCTGGGACACATATAAAGACCCTGTCTCAACAAAACAAAAAAATTAAAACAAAAACAATCCACTGGAAGATAATGTGGGTAAAATTCTTGAAGACATAGGTGAAAGCAAAGATTTTCAAGACCACAGAATCAATCTACAAAATGGGAAAACATATTTACAAGCTACTCTGCAAAGGACCAATATCTAGAATAGAGAGAACTTTAAAACAAAATTAAGGGGCCAGAGAGATGGCTCAGTAGAATAAGCGCTTCCCTGGCAAATGCAAGGGTCTGAGTTCAATCCCTGGATCCACCGAAAAAATAAAATAAAGCCCTCCACATAAGACCCAATCAAAAATTGAACATCTGAAATGAGAAAAACACTTTCAGATGAAGGAATACAAATAATAATAGATACATGGAGAAATGTCCAACATGGCTGGGCATCCAAAAAATGCAAATTAAAACTGAGATTCCACCTCACCATAGGAAGAATGGTTATCTTCAAGAAATCAAATAGTAACAAATAATTGTCAAGGCTTCAAGGAAAAAGTAACCCTTCTCTATCTTTGGTGGGGGTATAAATTGGCACAACCATTGTGGAAATCAGCATGGAGAGTCCTCAAAAACTTCAAAATAAAAATTCCATTTGATCCAACTAATCCCCTTCTAAGCAATCATGCCATGGTGATGTATGAATACCCATGTTTATAACAACACAATTCATAATAGTTAAATCTTAGAAGCAGCCTGTATGTCCATCAAGAGATGAATGGATAAAGAAAACGTGGTATTCACACACGATGGAATACGACAGTGCCATAAAAAGCATAAACTTGGGTTATTTGCAGGAAAATGAGTGCACCGTGAGATCACAATGTCAAGTGAATAAATCAGACACAAAGGTTCATGGTTTTTCTTATATGAGAAACTCAATACACAAATAAAGTACAGGCAGACAGTAGGAAAAAAGTTATTGTAGTCTAACATGGACAATGAATCTAAAAGTGTACCTTGTTTTAGTATAATTGTCTTGTGCATTTTGCATGTTGTTATTGTTGTTCTTGTGTGTGTGTGTGTGTGTGTGTTTCTTAAAATATTGTTTTGCTATGCAGTTCAAACTGACCTTGAACTCCTTCTGTAGCCCAGGCTAACCTCAAACTCGCAGTGATCCTCTGCCTCAGCCTCCCAAGTGCTGGGATTACAGGGATGTACCACTTGCCCAGATTGTATGGTTTTTTTGGCCTGTTACCTTGGCTATTAATTTGTATGCCTGATAAGTAACTTTATAAAAACTTGGAAGATAGATAATCAACAGTTAATCAATATAACACTGGCAAAAAGGGAGAGAGGGGAGGAAAGGGAATTAAGATGTGTCATGTACCTGTACCAGATCCTCACAATGAATACAATCATTCTACATTATTTTTTATGTGTTTAGTACAGGGTCTCACTACACAGATTGGACTCGTAGTGATCCTCCTGTTTTCAGCCTCCCAAGCACTGGGATTACGGGCATGTGTCACCACGCCCAGTCTCTATCACCAGCTCAGCATGCCCTCAGAAGCCTGCATGGCACTGGAACCCAGGTCCCTGTGTCTGCCTAAGCAGGAGCTTTAATCCGTTAAGCTATTTGGCCAGCCCCATAATCATTATATACTCTAAACATGCGTTAACAAAATTTAAAAAATAACTCATAAAAGCTGAAACTATTTTAACATCTATTCACATTAAAGCCATTTCACACATTTGGAGATGAGATGGAAGTGGACCGTGTTTTCATACACATCTTTTAATGTATTATCTAATTTATTTACATACAGTACCTCAACAAAATGAAAGGCCAGTTGTCCTAACAGAAATCCTAGTGCAGAAAGAATTGTCAAGACAATAACTTCATGATTCTTTAGAAGCACCTTCAAAACACCTTTAAAAAAAGAGAATGTATGTCATCTCAACATAACTCATAGTTTCAAAATGCTAATTACCTGGATTTAATCATTACTCATCAATACTTGTATCCAGTTTTTATTGTACTCCATAAGTGTGTACAAATGTGTCAATTTAAAAAATAAACCTTCTTGAAAGAAAACTGATACTTTCTAGTTTAAAACAATTTAACATTCATCCTCTATTAATTTTGAGCATTCTGAGTGTCACATTGTCATAGATGAACAGTAAATGGTTGTTACATACACTGTTAAATATAAGCCACATATAAAAAGGCATCTCTCACTGGTGAATTGTAAAAATATTGAGATTTCAACACCTTTCCATTTGTCCACTCAGTGATCTGTTAGGATCAATAGAGAGAAATAATGAAAAAGCCCAGCCTAGTATCAACACACTTTATCTTATGTCAATAAATTCTTGTTCTAAAACTAAAACAACATATATGCCATAATTTTTCTAAAAGTCAGAAATTCTTTTGACTTCAATCTTAAGAAAAATTGCCTTAAAAATTACACAGGAACAAAAGGCATGCGTTATCTCTGTCCGCATTTTCTTCCTTTGAAACCTACTCTGCCCAAGTGTGTTCATTTTATTGCCTCCAGAGGCAATCAATAGACTATAATTTTAATTTATGCACAGGGCAAGATTCATTTGCATCCCACATTCCACACTTCCGGCCTCACAGCTGCGGGTCAAGCTACATCAGTAAATGTTTCTCCTACTTTTCATGTATAAGACCAGACAAAATGTTTTTCCCAATACTTCTGCAACATCCTTTACTAAAATCCTTTACAATATCACTAGCTTCCATGTATTAAAACTAGTGGCATCAACCAAGAAAGGGATTTTTAAAAAGATGTGGTATTTTTATACAGTAGAGTATTACTCAGCTATGAAGGAGGATACACTTGAGGGTTTTATAAGTAAATGGATGCAAGTAGAGACCACACTCAAAACTGAAATAAATCAGACTCATATGTGTAAACATCATATCACCTCCCTAATGCAAGAGATTGAAAGAGTAAATAAGATCTAAAATATACAATGGATATTATGAAAGGGAAAGAAACTGCTCAAAAGGAAAGAACAACTGGGATGAGGAATGAAAAGTGTATATACATATGTATACAAGGTAGTTAAGGTAATTATACTGCTAATTTCTATTAGTTCCTTGAAAGGGATGGTTTGTGCTTATATTGTTTCATTCGTTTTGCCTGCCTATGCCTTGTCATCTGAGCAACTACTTAGAAGATAACAATATGCAATGTAATAACCACTATCAATTTCCTATTATCTTGTTTTGAAATTCTGTATCTTTTTTGTTTTGTTTTGTGTTTTGTTTTTTGTATTTTAAGGAAGGGTCTACAGGGTGTTCAAGGTCTCACTACTAGATCGGACTCATAGTGATCCGCCTGTTTACAGCCTTCCAAGTGCTGCGATTACATTTCTATCTTTTTTTTTTTTTTTTTTTTTTTTTTGCGATTACAGGCACCTGCCACCAGGCCCAGTCTCAATCGCTGTCTCAGCATGCCCCTGGGGCAGGGCCGGCACTGCAGGCCAGAGGATCAAACCCCTGGCCCTGAGCCTGCTTGCAGGCACTTCAATCTGCTGAGCTATTTGTTTTTATTTTGTTTTGTTTTGTTTTTTGTTTTTTGTTTTGGTATTTCAAGCATGATTTTAATATCACACATTTCTATCCTCAGTGTATTTGCTTAGTTCACAGATACCAGCACATAGAATTAGTCAGGGTGAGAATTCTACCCATTAACTGCTATTTTCAAAAACCTGATGCAGACTCTTAGGACCATTGCCTTAACCATCTTATTTATATAAATGTTTGGTTTTGCTCCTGACATACTTCCTAAATTTTCTTCATCTCTCTTTGTTTAATCCTTAAGTTCTCACTTTCCGTTTAACTGTCTTAAACCTTTCAATTTTTATTTCTTCTTTTGAGTTCTTACAGTAGAGAGCCAATACAATATTTACACAGATGAGTCTGGCTTATTTCATTTATGAGTATATCTTCAAGTTGCATCTACTTATATATGAGGGCTTCAAGTTTTATTTCATTTCATAGCTGAGTAATACTCCATTGTACAAAAACACTGATGGGGCATGTACAGACTGTGGTACAGGGTTTCAGGCTGAATCCTAAAGGGACTTGACTGACCTTTTTAGATACAAAGTTTGCATTTCTTGTTATATAGGTCTTGCTTTGTCTTGGTCTTAACCATCCAGCAGAAAAGTGTGAAAGCGAAGTATAAAACGTAAAGCCATGTTAATAGGCTGAGCTGTGGAAGGCCCCTGAGCTATTTGGCCAGCCTTGTATCATTGTTTTTATTGGAGCTTTTTCTCTTTAAAAGAGAGAAAAATAGTGGAGCTTATAGCCATCAGCACATTGTGAACACCAAAAGGAACCAAGATCTTTACTCTTTTAGAGACCTCCAAAGAAAGACATTCCACTCTCTGATCCAAAAGGCAAAACTGAAAAAGTCCTTTGTGTGTATTTGCTTCAGTATTTGTTAATTTATAGTATTCCTAATTCCAGAAAGGGACAGCTGACATTTTTCCCAAAATAAATTTTCTCCTATAGGGGCCCAGGAACTGTTCTGTATCACTAGAATTGAAATGTATGATAAAACTGCTGGGCTGTTATTGAGTCTGTTACTTTATCTGCATGAATACTATTCACTGTATCTTTTGAATTCTTAGTCATTGTTTAGAAGGCTCTTAATAGTGAAGTTCCTTCTGGGGGCTGTGGTGGGTGGTTCATCTTTGAAGAAAAATCCCATCAAAAGCCATAGGAGGCCACAGAGGAAAGTGATCAACAATGCATAGTATGCCTAAAGAGAGTCACCTAGAGAGAAAACATTCTCCCAGGCTTTCACAGAGATCAAATTGGTCAAGCAATAGCTGTGACTCATCCAGATGGCTGACGCTGACAGACATCTACAAGGTGCTGTACATGGTTCCGTGGTAAATCCTGAGGGCATTTGGTGACCTTGTCAGATAGCAAAGTTACATTTTTAGTTATGTAGGTCTTGCTTTAACTTGGTCTTAACCATCCAGCAGAAAAGTATAACCACAAGGTATAAAAAGTAAAGCTATATTAATATGCTGAGCTATAAAAGGCTCAAGTCAACAACTTCAGACAATTGCCAGTTGCGCTGTTAACTGACTACTATTATGGACTATTGGACTATGCTGGGTTATTTTGCTGAATTCAAGTACCTACAATATTTGGACTGGCATTAAGTATGAAAAAGTCCTTTAGAGACTTCTTCAAATACAGTTTCTCTAACTGCCATGGAACACCCATCTCTGACAAAACAAAACAAAAAAGAGGGATATAAATAAAAGACAGTTTTGTTGTGAAAAAAATGTATATACAAGATAGTTATGGTAGATATACAGCTACTTTCTCTTAGTTCAATGAGAAAAAGGTTTGCACTAATATTGTTTAGACATCAGGTCTGCATCTTGTCCTCAGAATAACTACTACGAAGACAACAATATGCAATGTATTAATTATTGTAACTATCCTTCTAATCTGTTTTGAAACTGTTTCATTGCTATTTTATCTTATTTTCTCATTAAAATGAATAAAAAAGGAAAAAAAGCCATAGGAAAGCACCCTTAGGGGTGGGGCTAGTGTGGTATGAGGTGCCAGAGATCCAACCACAGTCCCTGCGCTTGCCTAAGCTTGCCGAAGCAGGCACTTTAGACCTCTGAGCTCTCTCACTGGCCCCTGAAAGCAGACAAACTTCATAATATCAGCTGCATAAATTGTGAGTTGTACACAGAGCTCTTTGTCTATTTTCCCCAGTTGTCTCCCCTCATCTCAGATATTTTGGTCAGGTGAGGCCTGACAAGACAAGCTGTATTAGGTTGTCCCTCCTTGCTACCAAAAAATCCCCATAACACCATTCTGGTCACATTTGTCCCATTGCATCGTAGGTATCTGCTTGCTGGCCTCCCATACCAGGGGGCTCCATGAGGTGCAGGACTGCCTCGCCCTGTTTACATGCCTGCCACCCTGCATGCTCAGCAGACATCTCTGAATGAAGGGGCACAAATAGATATGCTTCAAAACTGGACAGCATTTTTGGTCAAATCTTAGATGGACAGCATTTGGTCAAATCTTGAAGTTTCATTTGCCTCTTCTTTCGATGTGGTTGTGATCACTGTCTACACTTTTAAAAAGCTCAAAGGACAGAGGACACATAAATTTTAAACATCTACCTACCTCCGGAAACACTAATGGCACACAAAAGTAGCGGAAAATGTGTCTGTGTTACAAGGTAATCCGCTGCCCTCCCGCAGAGTAGATCAGGTGTAGAACTGTCTCCTTGTGCCCAGAAGGTAAAAGTATTATTCATGTTTTGCCGCTCTTTTGCCAGAGCTTGGTGGAGTCCCATGTGTTATTACTGACACTTCTACTGTTGCAGACTAACCTGTTACAATATGCAAAAAGAGAAACATGAAGCCTTCCAAGACCCAATTCACCCAGACCCTACTAAAGTTGTTCCACACTCAGACCCGAGCAGTCTCTTCCTGTCGTAAGGCCTATGTTAATGCCTCTTGTTCTGCCTCTTGCTCCAAGAATATTTTATAGGAACAACCACAGCAGTGTTGGTGTTTCTTCCTCATACAGCTACCTATTAAATAGGAGAGAGGGTATATTGACTATTGCCCTAACTCTTGTAATGATATGGTAATGATAACTGGCTGAATAGCTTCTCAAAGGCTGAGGGTAAATATTGACTTGTATTTTTATTAGGGATGTGCACACTCTGTAGCACAAAATTAGGCTCTTGGTAAATATTTGATGAACTGGACTCTGAGGGGAGAGCAGAAAGGAGAAATGTTTCAGTCCTCATTCTCCACAGGTCCACATCATTCTAGAACTCCACCTCACTGCGCGGACCCCAACACTCCTTGGTATCAGCCTCTTCCAACTCAAAAACAGCAAATGGGAAGCAAGGTCAAAATTGAATCACAACAGTCAGCACTGGGAGTGAGGATGAGAGAAAAATCTAAAAATAAGAAGTAAGACTAAGGTTGAAGTTTGGCTACTGGTGCCTTTGACTGAATTTTAGAAAAGGTCCCTGCTCCTCTGAGTAGCAGGGTGACAACAGGCACAGAGCGTGCTGTGTGAATTATGGGTTGGATTCCAACCCCAATCCCCTCCTGGCTGGCGCCCTCCTGTGGGACACAACCTGCACACACAGTGTGTGCTATCCTGAGGACTTGTGCTGTTTTCTTCTTCCTTCTTAAGCTCAGATCTCCTACAAGTTCTTTAAGTAGCAGCAATAACATTAAAGTTCCTCTCTGGCGACCTGCTGTGATTGGTTTACAAGGCACGGTGATCTTGTTATGAAGCACGCACGGGGTACGCTAGCTTAAAACTAGACTCAAAACCCTACATCCTCCAGCCCTGCGCCTGTCTCTCAGCCCTTCGTGTTCTCCGCATTTTCAACCCCTTCTCACTCCACTGTTAATGACCTTTAAATCAAGTTCTGCAAGCCACCAAGAGATGTTCTTCCAAACCCAAGCTGCTTCCGAGTTGAAAGCGAGACGAAGGCTCTCAAAATCTCACAACAAAGCTCAGCGCTGCTTCTGTTTGCCAAGCACAGCGTTCCCAACTGACATAACAGCAAAGCAGTTTCCAAGCCTACTTTCCATTGGTTTCTTGCCAGCCTGGTTCTGTCCTGATTGGCTACTATCTTATCCTCCACCACCAATCCGGAAGGACGTAAGTTATCCACTAACAGGGAACATGTTTTAATGTTCAAACTGTTGTAATGCAGCAACTGTTTTAACTGATTTACCTTTCTCATATAATAGCTGAAATGGTCAAAGATACAGTGTATGCGGGCAAAATATGCACAGGGTTTTTTTGTTTGGTTGGTTTTTGGGTTTTCTTAATGCCAACAGTATCCAGTTCAACACTGCCCTTTTCCTTCTTTCATTTTCAGTCAAACTTTTCCAACTTTTTCTGCTCTTCAACATTCCTCATTCCCATTTTCCTCCTTCCTACTGGTCATTGGTCTTTTGTCCTTAATTATAGTACCACCCATTCTCCAAGGGACAAACAATGCTTCACTCTGCTGGGCTTGCTGCTTGTAATTCCCGCACTCAGACAGGCTGAAGCAGAAGGATAAGACGTTCAAGCCTAGTTTGGACAACTTAGTGACTTGGCAAGATTCTGTCTCAAAATGGAAAATAAATAAAAGGAATAGAGTGTAGCTCAAAGTGCAAAGGCCTTGGTTTCAATTCTCCAGTACGGGATCAGTAAGCATACAAGCAATCCCCAATTTTGGAATACCTAGCTGTGTATTTTTTTGTCTTGAATCCAATATACAGTATGAATTCTTTAGTGAATATTAATCACCTTGTAAGTTACTTTCAAGGAAGTGTTATTTTGTTGTGACTAAGAAATTCTAAATCTATCATTCTAATGCTTCAAAAAATCAAGGTTCTCCAAGGAGAACTGCACAGCAGGAAGACTACTAGACCTATTATCAATCTTCTTTATTACTTAGGTATTAGGAAAACTGTGACAAGTAAAATTCTCAATTTCTAGATAGAATTTCAGTTGATAGCTCTGTATCTGACTCTGAATATAACCACCATTTTGGGCATCAACACAGAAGCCCCGAAAATGGTCACTACAGCCTTTTTTTTACAGAATTGTATGGTTCTTTTAAGTCTCCTGGCCCATTCCCATCAAATGCCAGAGATCGTAGTAAAAGAAAAGTCCTATTCACAAGTTCTCTCTTGAGACAGCCATTCCTTATCTGCCTTTACTTATCTAATGGCCAATTTCCCTGTGCTTTCCCCCATTTCCATCTTCCCCTGACCTATACTGGTGGTCACCTTGACCTCTATTGGGCATTAAGTTTGCACTGCCTCAGATCATTGTGCCCAGTGTCCTTCCAGTTTTATGTCATTCCTCTCCATTGTGCGCTCAGGCTCTTTTCACCTAAACCCAATAGATAAGTCTTCTGTGGTTTCCATTTAAGTTTCAAAATCCAGATTCACCAAATCCCCACACTTAAGAAAATCTTGGATAGAATGTGAAGTCATGGCTTACATATAGTTCTGAAACCTAGAGATAGCATAGAACCAAATACAGACACAAGCAAATTTCGTTTACCACAATCTTTCCTAGAGCTAATTTTAAAAAGCCATAATAGCTGAACATGGTAGCACACATCTATAATCCCAGCACTCCAGAGGCTAAGGCAGGAGGATTGCCATGAGTTTGAGGCCAGCCTGGGCTATGTAGTAAGACCCTGTCTCAAGAAAAAAAGAAAAAGAAAAAAGACCAAAACAATTTAAAATAAAGGCCATAAAAAATGTATATTTCATCATTTTTGTAAAGTGAACGGACTTTGATTGCTTTGGAGAGTTGAGGGCTGGGAGCTAGCCCATGGGCTTCCTCTCAACCCAGTCTTCTCAACAGACTCTGTGACTGCATGACAGAGATGCATGAAACATCAGTGGATGTGTAGTTTCCCAGGTCAACACCGGGATTGGCTCAGGAGTGGGATTGGGGCTCAGACAGGACCAATCAGATGATTTCTCAGGCTAATGCAGTCTCTTTACATTTGGGGAGGAACTGTATGGAGAAAGCCTGTCTAAAATCTGAACGTTTCTATGAGGCATTATCTTAGGTATTTCTAAGATCATAACTTTGGAATTGCTGCCCCAATTTCTTCTTCAGAAGTTATTTCTTAGTTCAAGAACATTCTTCCATCTAGAAAGGCTGGGAATGAGTAACAGTTTTATTTTCAAACCAACTATTGTCTCCTTTATGTCCTTTTTATTATTATTATTTGGTACAGGGTCTCTGCACAGCTCAGACTCAGTGATCCTTCTGTCTCAGCCTCTCCAGCACTGGGATTATCGATGTGTGCCACCACTTCGTTTCAGTGGCTGGCACAGTGTGCCCAGGGTTCTGGGGCCAGCACAGCATGCAGCATCAGGGATCAAACCCGGGGTTTCAGGGCTGGCATGGCACGTGGCACCAGGGATTGAACTCGGGTCCTTGCACTTGCCGTGCAGGTGTTTAGACCTCTGAGCTATCTGTCCAGCCCCTCCTTTATGTTTCTTTTGTGGTTTACTTGGAAGTGAAAATGTTTCTTTGTTCAGCTTTTTTTTTTTTTTTTTTTTTTTTTTTTTTTTTTTTTTTTTTGTATTTTAGGGAAGGGTCTACAGAGTGTTCAGGGTCTCACTACTAAATTAGACTCATAGTGACCCACCTGTTTACAACCTCCCAAGAGCTGGGATTACAAATGCACACCATCACGCCCAATCTCAATGGCTGTCTCAGCATGCCCCGGGGGCAGGGCTGGCACTCCTGGTCCCTGCGCCTGCTTGCATGTGCTTTAATCCACTGAGTTCTTTGGCCAGCCCTATCTCCTATTTTGAAGGAAGCCAAATAGCAATGGGATGCTGACTGGAAATTGTCTCAGCAGGATTATTGACTTTATTTAAATAATTGTTACTAAACTTATTTTAATTGCATAACTATGACTTTATTTCCTCTAGCTCCCAGCATTTTGTCTTTCCTACAAACTCCCCCTGCAGCTCCTAGAGCATTTTGGAGCCTCTTCGAGCAACTCTGCTTGAGGCCTGAACGCTTTTTACTCACACTCCCCACTAGACCTTTCTGCCACAGGCCTCCATCCAGTCCCAAAGCCAGGGCGACCTATTTTAGGTCTTGTTACACCCATGTCTCATTGCCAGGTTCTAAAATGTGTATATGATACATTGCCATGTAACAAATGAACACACAAATTAGTAACTTAAAACAAAAACAATCATTTATTTGGTTCACAAGTCTGCAATTCTGGCAGTGCTCAGCAGACAAGAACTGTGCCTACTCCGTGCAGCGTTAGCTAAGTGGCTTGGCTAGAGATCCACCTCCAAGATGATTTGGCCTGGCATTGTGAGGATGACAACTAGCTGGCACTCAGCCAAGGCTGTGGCTCCAGGTCCTTTCCATGTGCATCTCTCCACCTTTCCATGTGGCTTCTAAGAGCAAACATCTAAAGAGAGCTAGATAGAGGCCACACCACCTTTTATAATTGTAGCCTTGAATACCGCACAGAACCACTTTCCCTATAGCACAAGCCTGCACAAACATGAGAGAACAGAGACCCAGCTGTCTATGTGAGGAATGTTGCAATCACATTGTAAAAAGCAGATTTGAGATGGGAGATGGGACCACCTTGAACTATATCATCTACCCATATTAGAAGGAAAACTGGAACAATTGTCACTCTTATACACTGGGGCATTATGCTAACCTAAGCAGCAATCTGCCTGCTTTGCTTAGTCTAGTGCAGTAGCTTTCAAAGGCTGGACCATAGGTCAGTTCTGATTCATGGGGAAAGTTCCATCATATTTGGCAATATGAAAAAATCAAGTGCAAAATTCTCTAACAAAGCTTGATATTTTTTTCCCAAGGAAATGTCTTACACTGAGATCATATCTTCCCTACATTTTTGGTGTCAAAAGGTCCTTTATCAAATGATAATAGGCAGTAGTTGTTTTTTTGAGAGGCCATGTCAGAGGTCATGCTCTCTTCATTATTTTTTTTAATTTTTCTAATCAACGAAACCCAAAACTCTAAAGAACTACTATGTAGAAGTTATCATAGCACTGAAATTGTCTTTGATTGACTACTTCTCAACTACTGTGGAGGCATTTTTGAATTACTAGTACATACTCTGAATAGTAAATATTTTGTGGAAGTTCACAAAAAGCCATGCAATGCATCAGGACATTTTAACTATCCTACGTATCTACAATGTTGTGCAACAACAGGTAACAACATGGACTGTATCTCTCAGCAAGCTATAGATCTATAGGTGTAAATAAATGTCAGAACCTTTGAAATGAAATAAGATCCAGGAATGCCTGGGTGATCACTAGGTTCACAGGGTTGAAAACTGATATGATATTCAAGATGAAGGTTTAGGAAATAGAAAATCGGAAGAGCAAAAGATCTAAAGCCATAGGTGGGATGTGTGTGGCTTGCCTGTTAGAGTTGAAGTGGAGCACTAGTGTAAACAATGTATGGAAAGAAAGCCTGGAAGTCATTTTCACAAATATGAGCAAGATCTGTGAATGACTGACATGGTAATGAGTGCTATGAAGAAAGTAGACCTAAAAGTAAATTCATTTAACTATTATTTTCTAATTTACTATCATAGATTCTTTAGGTATAACGAAGTTCATAGCCTCAAAAAGTTCATAATTCGCATGCAGAGACAAACACAAACAATTAACCAGCTATTAGCACTAAGGGAGCTCACAAGGGTTCGTTCTTTGTAATAACAGGGAAAAGGAAGGAGGAAATGATGGATTGCTTCACCAAGGGTCTGGACTGAATTTTTAGAGGCTCCCATTGCTGGGGGAAGATGAGGAAGGGGAACTGGTGATGAAATCAGAGCAAGTTGTGAGGAAGGTAGAAGTGTTAGGATTGGCATAAAGGTGTCATTATAAGGACTTTTACAAATACAGTACTAGCAAATATATCAAGAGCTACAAAAATTTTTAGAATATTGAGAAATAAGTATAAAAAGGAGAGAGAGGCTTATTATAGGTGGTCTCCAGGAATGCCATGGTCTTATTCAGAAATCTTAGGAACAAAATTCAGGGTTCCTTTTTTGCTCACCATGAATACTCACCTGGAAAGTATTGTAGTATTCAAGATCAGGCTCAGAAAATACAAAGAGTAGAAATAGCAAAAATGGCACCTGGCCTCTTCCTAAATTATTGCAGTGCTGAAGGACACTGGACTTCTAGAAACATCCTGTATTAAGAAAATGGAGCAAACATAGGCATCCCTCCTTAGGTTTCTCCAAAAGCACCCAGCTTTTGGAGAAGGACTGCAAAAGAGAGGGATAAAAAATATTGCCCTCTTCTCCTCTTTAACATAATTGAAACCAAATTACTTGTGCTTTAAAAAAAAAAAATCTCAAAATTTAAGACTTTGGGAGACATTTTAAAAAGGTTATCTCAAAAACCATAATTGAGACAATATCAAGTGACAAAGTATCACTGAAGTGATCATTTATTTTTCCTCTTTCCTAAAATGAAAAACAAGCTTGCAGAGCAAGACAAAGAAGAGAAAATCAGGGCCAACCAAATAGCTCAGCAGATTAAAGTGCCTGCAAGCAGGCGCCGGGGCCAGGGGTTCAATGCCCAGGCCTGCCGTCTGGCCCCACCCCCAGGGAGTGCTGAGACAACAATTGAGCCTGGGCATGGTGGCACACACCTGTAATCTCAGCACTTGGGAGACTGTAAACAGGAAAATTACTGAGTCAGACCTAATAGTAAGACCCTCAACACCCTGTAGACCCTTCCCTAAAAAATACAGGAAAAAAAAGAGAAAAATCATAAGAACAAAGGAAAGAATACCCTTTAAACATTTTCTTTCCCATAAAACTTGCCCCAAAAGTACCAAAGTAATAGAATATCAGGCGCTTGATTAAATAAACTATAGAGGGCCAGGGAGATAGCTCAACACATTAAGCACCTGCCTGGCAAGTGCAAGAGCCCAAGTTATATCTCCAGTCCCACCAAAAAAAAAAAAAAAATCACCAATAGGAAACTAAGTATGATATTTAAGAGAAAAAATGAGAGAGAAAAAATGTCATGGAGACCAGTTACAATATCTGTATCAAATCTACAGAATAGAAGAAAACTTCTAAATCTAACACTACACAGATTAGTGTTTATTAACTTAACATTGAAAGAAGTTGATGATAAATATAGGTTTTACTCAGAGACTATATCTGCTTTACAGGTGAATTTCAATTGCAATGCAAAAAATAATTATAACCAGAGGACCCTAACTCAAACAATTCTTAGTATGTCCTTGCTCCAGAATGCCATTCATAAGATTTCTTTTTGAGAGAGCAAGAACAAAAGTGTTTTCCTCTGGAAATAACCAAATAAGTCTTTTTTTCTTTTTTCAACTATGTCTTTTTTAAATGGAATTCTCCATTGGAATGGAAATTTTTGTCTCAATGACACAGAAAATTGTGACACCCTCTAAGTAGTTTTCAAAGACTCCCTGTGGTTTCTGTGAGTGATTTATACCCAGGTGCTTTCCTGTTGGAGTGTGGGAGGCTGCACAGGAAGAGCAGAGGAAGAGCAGAGTCTGAAGAAGCACTTGGAACAAGGTAAAACTGAGCAACGGTGACTGATCATTAAACATTTTGATAAAGTTTCACAGCAATTTTCTTGACTTCAATTGGCATGAATAGGTTTGCCTTTACTGATATTAGAAGAAATTGTGGTCTTTTATAAAATATATGTTCAGCAGAAAGTATAATCTTGACTTCTCTTCTGGCTATGGCTTAGTTTATAATGGGTTTGGCATTTTCCCTTGACCTGAAAGGAAAGAGATTTTTAAAATTAGCTTGTGATAAAATAAACAAAACCACGTTTAAAAATAATGGACATAGGATAAGTATGTCCAAACTGAAACCAGCCACTAGTTGAATCTTGCTGTAACTGACATATCAGGTCAAATATTCTCCCATATGTACGTATAACACCATGAGGTCATTCTTCTCATATAATCAGTATTATTGTTCCTAGCTTGGCTATGGACTAGAGTAACTTTGATTAAATTGCTGAACCTCTTAAGTTTTCATTGCTTCATTATAAAATGTGGGACCATTTCAGAGGCTCTATCAAGACCTAACATCTTACTCAACAAAAGTAATTAGGGGGTGTAGTAACATAGGGGACTTAGGAAGGGGGCGATTCTTCTACAGAGGAGAGAGGGAGATGAAATATTCACAAGAGTCAAACTCACGGGGAACAAAAGTAGACTAACTGTTGGCAGGGCTCGGAGAAGGCAGGAATACAGTGTTCATAAGTATAGGGTTTCTTTTGGGGGTGGTAAACAAAAACTTAGATAATGTACAGCAATAATTATACAACTTTGTGAATATACTGAAATCCACTGAGTTTAAAGAGTTCAACCTTTTTAAAGGTCAATTTTATAGTATAATAATTATATCTCAACAAAACTTTTACTACAATCTCAGGTACGTGTGTCCCTGATACATGAACTTTCCTCACACTCAGGACAGTATCACCACAATAGGTTTTTTTTTTTGGTTTTTTTTTTTTTTTTTTTTTTTTTTTTTT